CACTTTCCAGGTCTCCCTTATTTCTTAGATTAACATCCTATCCCACGGTAAAAGTTTAAAACAAAAAGCATACTAAGAACTAACAAGATCCTCACTATCAAATCAATCCAGAGCAATAATTTTGCATTATGTACATACTCTTTAAAAGCCTGGGAAAAATAAATCATCCTGACAGCATGCCCTGAAGGTCAAATTAACCAACTCTGTCAGAGCAATGGAAGACAGTTCTAGCTAGGATAGGAGGCTCTTTGTTCAAGACTAGCTGCCATCAGCCCACCTCTTTGTCTGAATGAAAAGGAGCTTGGCTCAAAGTGCTCAATCCCATGCCTGTGCCTTTTAAAGCAAAAAAACCAGGGAGTTAAATAATCCAAACTACAGAGACAAGACAATAGTTATATTAGAATGCAGTTTGTATATGATAAAATTAAAGACATTAAGAAGTGTTTGCACTGAAATGATACCATCATCCCATCATGTTGCAAAACAGGGTACTGTTTTCCAACTTTTTTCCTCAACAAATTAAAAAAAATGCTTAAAATCCAAATAACCAAAGGTCTAAAATGCATGTAACGTATTAAGATAATGAAAAATGAATGTAAACAATATCCGAGTACTACAGATTTGTTGCCAAATTTTAAAGAAAGTCAAATCACTAAAGTGTCAGAAGTCACTGACTAAACACTTGGAACCAGAGTTTAAGTGTGTAAACAACTTTTTAGAGCAGCAGCTTCTACAGAAGGAGAAAATAAATTTTCTTCATTTCAGTTTATTCAACTTATTCAGTTCAATGGTTAAATCATTTGAACTGGAGAAACTGCACAGTACTTAAAAAGAAAAAAAGAAAGCATTTCCCTCTTTCCTACTATAACTAAAAATCAGGTACAAAGCCAAGATATTAGTTCTAAAATCTGGAAAGACCAGAAATACACCATTTGTTTGACTAGTTTCAGATTAACAGACCAGTTTAAAATGCAAAACTTTTTTTGCTAAATTTACCTCTAATATATAACACTAACAGTAATTTTAATTAAAAAGCCAATCTGAGGCACTGTTTGTCTCAGCTTTTCCAGTCTACATAACTGTGTAAAGTTAGTTTATCTAATTGGGACAGAATAGGATACAGCAATATCACGAGCGGGTCTAGGGAACCGATAATTCCCCTCTATGTGGCACTGGTGAGGCCGCAGATGGGAGTATTGCATCCAGTTTTGGGCACCACACTTCAAGAG